TCCATGTCAAAGCTGAAAATGGTAAAGATGTAGGAGTTTTGACAGCAAAAAAAAAGAAACTCATCTGAATTTTCTCCCGTTAATACCAGTGGTAAAGGGGATGAAAATAGCTACTTGGGTAACTTTTTAAAAGAAATCGGGAAGTATACATTACTGAAGCTAAAGTGTCATGCTGCTATACCAGTAGCTTTCAAATTCTGAATCTTTAGGGAGTTTTTTGGTGAAGAATTCTTCACAGAGTTTCTGAGATCTGTTCTACGGCATGCACTTGGCTCTGCTCTGCCAGGTCTCACTGCCATCCCACATGCATTAAAATGTATCAACTAGGCCTCTGCAGATTTCTACCACATATGGAAGAGATGGGAGCGGTAATTAACCTCTACGGATACAGTTAAATGGTATTAAATTGAGAGCTACATGTATTGAGAGTAGCTCACAAAGATAACAGGCTTTGAAGCAACAGCAATCTTCTAGAGTCCCACTCTTGTCCATCAGCTTTCGGAAGGGAAAGCAGGATCCATTTTGGATACACTCAACATTCCCCTAGCATCCGATGGGTAAACAATTGGTTGGATCCCATGATCAGTGGATACAAGGACTGTGAATGTTTCCCATGTTTGGCTTCCCCAGCAACACTTCCCAACCCCAGGAAAGTTTATTTCCAGGCTCCTGGAACCCACGAGGAATACTACCTACATGGGCTGAGATGCTGCAGTCGGAAAGGGAAGGGGGTGCAATCACCATCTTTTCCATTAAGCAGAGCTGGGTTTACAGAAGAGGCAGGAAAGGTGATTTTTGTCCCCTTCTCCCTCCTCACTGCAACATCCCAACCCATATGGATATTACGCTACGTGGGTTTTACCACCCCAGGAATAAACTCATCTGGAATGAGAAGGGACCACTGGGGGGTAGACCCAGGAAAGATCTGCAAACTTCTGCTAATGGAATGCAGGATCCAACTCATAAACAAGATGGGCAAAAATATTTAATTAACCCTGCACAATTTATGTAGGAGCAGCATCACTGGTCTCTTGGATGTTCCCCCAAGCAACTAAACAATTAAGTTGTAAGGGGAGATTTCGTAGCCTGTCCCTCAACTACGGTATGTTCCATTTAGGATGTTATAGAACACTGCAGGGATAAAGTCTGAAACCAACTCGACTTGTTATAATTCTCTGCCCCATACCACAGTCAGTTCTCTCTGTTCCATCATGGAGACTCTGGCCACTATCTCAGCGGTATCGGACAACTAGGCGATAGCTTCTGCTGTGTTCTTCCATTTCTCTGACAGGGATTTTAGTTTCATAAGAGAGTTCGGCTTGCACTATAATGGCCTGGCAGAACTACCACAAGTTAAGACTCACAACGGGGTAATGAGCTGCATACCGGAAAGGAAGATCCATAGTGGGTGGGGGCATGGCATTTTTCAGGGAAACATCTCTGCCGTGACTGATCTTCTCATTAAGGAAGCCCTGATGTTCCGAGGAACCCCAGGCTCCCTGGAACTCAAAAATCACTGGGCTACACAGAGTGAATGCTGACAAGTGAAGCATTTTTCTACCACTGCAGCCTGGAGAAGCTTAAAGTGCTTTTTGGAACATATTGGATGCATATTTAATGTGCATTAGTGATGTTTAGCAGTCCAACAGTAAACTCTTGCAAAGCATCCTGGAGGTCTTTGGAGGCTAGCGGGCAGCAAAGGAGGATACTCAGTTCACCTTGCCAGCAGGTGTTGAGAAAGAGGCCGGGTAGAAGGGCAACGCAGACAAGAGAAGAGGGAACTTCATGCGATCGCTCTGCATGTTTACAGGCATTGGGGGGGGGAGAATTTAAAAACTTAATACCGTTGCCTGTATCCTCATGATAGGAATAAAGAAAAGAGCCTGAGAGAAAACACAGCCACTATGAAACTGGATTTTCACCTTGCTTGACATAGAAGGAACAAGCTAAATGAGAGGGAAAGGAGGGAGGGAAATAATTCCCTATATTATAATGGGTTAGCTACTCCTTTGATAAGGCCAAGTTGCTATGGGCCTGTTTCACTGTATGAGAAAGTACTTGTTCCTTACATGGCAATTACCAGATTGATCCTGGACAATCTCTACATTTGAGGACAACAAAGAAAACAAAAAAGTAAGATGAGAACATCATCACATTGTACATTTCCCTTTGAACACAGACATCAATTTGCTTCTCAGTGCTCACCTTGAGGCCAAAATATACAACCTTGCAGCCTTTTCTTAATGCTAGTTCTGTATCATCATAAATGTAGGACAGAAGAATTTCCAGGATTTTTTTCCGCAGACAATTTCCCATTTTGAAAGATTTGTTCTTTAACAGAAGTAACAAGAAAGGGTGCCATTGTCAATTTAAATACATGGCAAGCCTGGGAACCCCAAAATCTGAATTAACATTTTCAAGGTGCTTATCCCTAGGAATCTTGTGAGAGTACATGTATGCAGGGGTCATTTCGTAGAAAAAGAGGTGCAGGAGCTCATTAGCATAACTCATTAGCATAACTTATTTGCATATGCCGCACCCCCTGACATCACTGGATGTGTGTCAGAAGGCAACACCCACCACTCAGGCTCCACTGGACTGTTTTGGATTGCTAGCTATTGGGGGGGGGACACATGCAGATCTGCCCTCACAGAGGAGGGAGAGCTTGTACCTGAATAAAACTTGGTCTTAAAGGTGCCACTGGACTGTTAGGGCGCGGGGGGGGGGGGGGCGTCTGCAACTTACCTGGCTGCTTCTTGCTCTGACTGAGGACTGCTGGGAGCAGGGGGTGGGGCTTGTTGCATGTGCCCGCCTCCTGGGCTCTTTACTGCCAGAGCTCCGCTCCTGTGCGCTCCTGCAGGAAATGACCCCTGCATGTATGTGTTATTGATTGTAAATGGGGAAGCACTAAAATCACGGACCATATAAAAAAATTAAAAATCCAAATTTTGACATTCTCCTGATGGCTTTGATTTGACTAAAGCCAAAGCTAAAATTCTCATCTTCTCACATGGTGGAAGGGACATTTTAATCATCAATCTGACTCAGAACTAAGAAGTAATACAAGTAATAGGATGTTCCAGTGACCTCCATGGAGCAGAACTCTGTTGAAATACATGTGGAAAACTCTGAGACATGCAGATTTCCTCGGCACTGCAACTATTTCAGGCTTGGAAAATAGCATTGGGGAGGAGAGAGGCTAACGCCCTTATTATACACACATTGCCAACCAGATCCACCACGACTCGTGTATGACTGTGTGATGGGAACCCAGATACAATCTGTATATTCTGTAAGGTGTGTAAACCTTATTGAAGCTTTGCTAAGCTGGGCTGAGATTTTTGGATCTCTATCCTTTATTGCATATTTGAGATGCCAAATCCACACAATGGCTGCCTCAGGGGAGGAAATATCAGCTTACCCTGAGGTTTATTGAAAGGAAGCAAGAAAAAGCAACATCTTGCCAAGTGACTTCTTTTAAATGGCACAAGTCTGAGAAGAGGGGTGGTAGAAACCCGTCTGCAGACCACAAAGGCAGTTGTAGCTAGGCTGGTGTTCAGATTTTTTTAAATGAGCCTGTTTGCTATTGAAATCCTAAAATGAAAAAGGTGGCATTTGGCCCTCACAGCAACATCCTAGAATCCTCTCCACTTTGGAAGACATTTCCCAAGTGCACACATACGGAAGTCAGGAGTTTTCACTTTCAGGATCAAGCCATGGTCCTAAAAGGAGGTTCTTCACATTCTGAGCTCCGATGGATCCTGTCTCAGACTAAACCATTGTGTTTGTTCAGAGGGCTAAAATAACTACTTCTTTCAGGTTTAGAAAAATAAGTGATTTGGTTTGAGAGGCTGAACGGATTCCTCAAAGGGGGGGGGCATAAAATCAGCAAGAGATCTTCCCTGCCAATGTCAAAAGCTCCGGTTTATCTGTCATTCTGGTCTTCAAAAATGGATCTGGTTCCCCTGAACTGCGTGGATTCCAAAAGGCAGCTCAATTTCTAACTGAGAAGCAGGCCTCAGGGCTCAACTTTGTCTGGAAGTCACACTCATGCCTTCACAGATCACCCGTTCCTCCTGATCCATGGATACAAACAGAACAGGTGGCATTGTTTTCGGTTGAAATGGACAAGATGACTCGAAAACTTAATAATATGGAAGCAGAAGATTTCTATAAAGACTGGAGAGATTTAAAAGATTATCTGGGAAAATATTGGGATGTAAAAGACAATTTATTTTGCTTTAATAACTATTGAATATTGACTTTTAGAATCATGAAAGAAAAGAGATATAATTGTAATAGTAGAATAATAGTTACCTAGTGAAGTTGTAATGAGGAAACGGATGGAGGATTAAAGGTTAAGCAATATACAGGAGGTCGTAGCACTGGGGGAAGCCATGTAGGGGGGGGAGGTGGGTAGGGTGTAACGGGTTTAAATGTAAAACTAAATGTTGACTTTGATTGATTATATCCTGAATAAAATTGTTACCCAAAAAAAAAGACCAGGTGGCATTTGGAGGCCCTATTTCATTTAACAAATGATGTAAAAGTGCTGATCTGGGAAAGGGGGGAAAGGGTTAAAAATTGCAGCTCCAACCAATTCAGAAAATTACCAGCCACCACTGATGAGAAACTCAAAAGCCCTGTACTTTTCTACTTTACCAACAGACTAACTACTCCTTCAATTTATTCTTTTTTTTAAGTACCGGAACGCCAAAAGAAACAGCAAAGAGAACATGGAATTGGGCAAAGCTCATCCTTGCTACACAGGATCAAATATCAAGCCAAGAGAATTGTGGGTTCAAATCTGAATTCAATAAAAAGAATACTTTTTCCTCCCATACGTAGGCACATCTATCATTATTACCAGAGGCCGCTGGTGGTAAAATCCCAAACGCTAACGTAGGCACATCTATCATTATTACCAGAGACCTCTGGTTAAATCCCAAACGCTCAACTTGCGGCAAGGAAGCCCCGTGCTGAGACTGCAAAACAATCACCTGATACGTGCAGCACTTCACATTCTCCCTGCCCACAGTAAATAGCAGCGATCGCAGAGAGCTCCTCCAGAGCCAACTTCGACATGGCAGGAAAATCGCCGCCTGCAGCCTCCAGCAGGCAGGAAAGAGAGGAAAAGGCTAGACAGCCGCTTCCCCTTCCGCCCGCAATGAAAGAGAGGGTTGAAAAGAACCCTCGTGTCCACACGGGGGCGCTGCGCTTCCTTCAGTTCACTAAAAAACAAACACGAACACGAAACTCGGCCGCTTGCCTGTTTTAGGCGCTTGCCCTCAAGTCACGATTCCCACGTTTAAAACACCCTGCGCAGGGACAGAGCGCGAAATTGCGTGAATGATAATCGTACAGGCCCTTATTCTGATAAACTGCCCCTCCCACTTAGCCCAGTTCAAGGAAACACTTTGAAAATTAGCCTAAATGCCAAGAAAAACTCCCTCTGTTGCGTGTCCCCCACTTTCCAGACTATGCGTTGCTTAATCCATTTATACATTTTGTTTTATTTTTAAAATGTCAGTGTAAATGTCTTTTAACCTGACGTTATCTTAAAGACACCGAGATCCCGAAGCAGAAGTTGCTGCACTCTGACATTTGGGAGTCATCACCTGAGACAGCAGAATGTCAGTTGGATGTTTTTCACACTATGCAAATATGGGCTTCCTGTCAAAGATCTAAATCCCATCTAAATGTAATACATTTTCTTGTAGTTGCAGACCTGTGAAAATGCTAAATATTTAAATTCAAGATGAATGTCTTATTTATTTATTTTACACCTTGGCTTTCGTCTTGTCTGACTACTACAATTGGAAGTCAACATTTCTATTTTTAATTTCTCCAACGTGATATTTGAAAATTAATATTAATGGTCCTTATTAGTAGCCTGGGGCATGGATCCCAGGTTATGTCAATATTTCATACTCACAGAAGTAAACCCGGTTTAAATTAAACACCTTCTCCTGGCCAGCCTCCCTGGAAGGATCCTAGTTCAGCAGTCTAGGGTTGCCAACCTCCAGGTGGGGCCTGGAGCGCTCCCGGAATTATCACTGGCCTCCAGACTACAGAGATCTGTTCCCCTGGAGAGCCAGCTTGGTGTTAAGAGCAGCGGACTCTGATCTGGAGAACCAGGTTTGATTCCCCCACTCCTCCTCCACATGGAGCCAGCTGGGTGACCTTGGGCAAGCCACTGTTCTCTCAGGAGCAGTTCTCTAAAGAGCTCTCTCAGCCCCACCTACCTCACAGGGTGTCTGTTGTGGGGAGAGGAAGGGAAGGAGATTGTAAGCCACTCTGAGACTCCTTAGGGTGGACCACCTGCCTAAGTGTACCGCCCGCCTAACGCACCGGCGAGTAGCCTGCCGTCCCTGCTAGAGGCCGTAACAGGCTGGGCGCTGGAGCATCCTAGGCTTTTGGTCTTGGGTGACTTCAACGTCCATGCCGATGACGGGGCCTCCAGCCGGGCTGCAGACCTGGTTTCGTCCATGGCGGCACTGGGACTCTCACAATTTGTAGCGATCCCCACACACCAGGCCGGGCACACACTCAATTTGATCTTTGCGGCGGGGATTACAGTGGACCGGATTACTGCAGCGGTCGGACCACTTTGCCCTGAAGGCTCATCTGAATGTCCCACCCCAACCCTGCTTAGGCGGTGAGCAGATTTTAGCTCACCCGTGGAACCAAATGGACCCTGTTCGGCTTCAGATGGCTCTGTGGGATCCGATGCCCCCTGGCGGCTCATTGGATGAGCTTGTGGAGGACTGGTATGACCGACTCTCCACAGCCATCGATGAGATTGCTCCCAGGCACCCTCTGCGCTCTCGCTCTAGGCTTGCCCCTTGGTTCACCCAGGGGTTGAGGCGTATGAAACGAGAGCTAAGACGACTAGAGAGACGGTAGCGGCGTGCCCGCAACAAAGCATCAAGAACATCTTATAGGACATTTATGAGATCCTACGAGATGGCAGTCAAGGCTGCTAAGAGGGAGTTCTATGCAGCCACGATTCTGTCTGCGAGCTCACGCCCAGCCCAACTATTTATAACAATTCGGTCTTTGACAGCTCTGTACCATGGCAGACAAAACAGTAGGGAACTAGATACTGGCTGTGAGGCTTTTGTGAGCTATTTCACAGACAAAATCTTGACGCTCCGCTGTGACCTCCCTGCCGCAATTGAAAAAGTGAGCAAACTTGAGGCCCCTTGCGCGTCTTCACGGGATTTAGAATGTTTTGACCTGCTCAGTCTGGAGGAAGTTGACAGATTGCTCGTATCTGTGCGTCCAACCGCATGCCGCCTTGATCCGTGCCCTTCCTGGCTCATTAAAGTGAGCCACGAGGGGTTTCGAGGTGCCGTAAGGGAGATTATCAACAAGTCCCTCTTGGAGGGACGGTTCCTTGAGGCACTCAAGGAGGCGATGGTCCGTCCTTTCCTGAAAAAACCAACTCTGGACCCGGCTGGATTGGCCAACTATCGG